CCAGAGTTGAAAGTCCACAGATTCCCTCTCGGGCCACCGTTTCTGCAGAGTTTGGGCAACAAAAAAGTGCTCTGAGAGCCTCAGAAAAGCAGCCTGGGCGGGGTGTGGGCAAAGGACCCCAGGGGAGCGTTGGTGGGCGGTGGGGGGGAGAGATGGGAATACTTCACAGCCGTTGGACCTGACCATCAGCCTCATCCGAGCCCCCCTGGGTCCGTCTGTCTGTCTGCGATGAGGGACATGCCAGTGCCCCATGGACGGGGCCTTCGCCCCCACAGAGCCTCCCGGCCACAGCTGACTGGCCTTTCCTAACCGCCTCCCGCCGCTTTGCTCTCCCTCCAGAACCTTCCCTCTGTGAAGACGAGAGCAGGTCGGGACAAGTGAGTCCAGCTCCATGTATCCAGAATCGACCACGGGCTCCCCAGCGCGGCTCTCCCTGCGGCAGACGGGCTCCCCCGGCATGATCTACAGGTGACCCCCACCCCCAGGCCTCCCCAGCGTCAGCCCTGCCTCTGGGAGGGATCCCCTAGGCCACTCTCCTCCCCTTGACCCAGAGGGCAGTGAGGTGCAGCGGGCGTGCATTTTCTCCAAGGAAAGGGACCGAAACGTTTAAGACCAAAATGGGAAAGAAAAACCCAGAATTTTCTGGGTGGGATGGAACCAGGATTAGACTCCCGCCTTGTCCCCGCCTCTCCTGAAATATTCCGCTGGAGGTAACAGAGGCCCAAAAGTGAGTGGGGGGTCCCTCCTAGCCTCTGTTTCTCTTACCTTACACATCGAGGCTCCTGGACCCCCTGTGGCCCCTCCAGCTCCCCCAACAGCCTGAGTGAGGCTCAAAGCCTTGCAGGTCTATGGAGAACAGTGTCTGCCCATCCACAAATGTTGGGGAGGACGGGGGTGGGCAGGTGCTCACCAGGCACCCTGGACTTCCTCCTCAGGGAGGCCACTTTCAAACCCAGCTCTGGGTCTTTCTGTTGGCATGCACTCCCGGATGGACCCGGGAGACAGGCGGGGGGCACTGGGTAAGAGCTGCTGGCTCCACGGCCGGAGCACAGAGCCCAGCTGGCAGTCACTATCGCTGTCACGAAAGGCTGGGGCCCAGGTGGCATCCTGGGGGCCCATTAGTGCTTTAGCTATTGGATCTTTCTAGATAATTGTCAGGGCCCGAGCCTCAGCGAGTATCCATGGAAACCACAGGGAAACGGGGTGCCCCTCCTTCATCAAGGTCCTAAAACGCCACCGTCACTCGCAGATTTGCCGGCGAGTGGGGTGACAGGCACTTCTTGGTTTGAGGGTTTTCAACTGTTGTTCTCAAGCATATTTCGTTAAAACCCAAACAGACTGCCCCCCAGGGTTTACCTCCTCTGTCTTCAGTTCCCACTCTGTGTGGGAGTGAGGCAGGCACGGGAGGACCCGTGTCCCACACAACGGGGCTCTGCCTCCGTGTGCCACTGGGTGGCGCTCCCTTCGAGCGCTTGGTACCCAGCGTGCACCCTCCCGCCAGCCCTGAGCAGAGCGGGGTGGGGCCGGGGCTGCGGGGTGGGGCCGGGGCTGCGGGGTGTCGCCGGGGCTGCGGGGTGTCGCCGGGGCTGCGGGGTGTCGCTGGTGCTTCCTGCTCGCACCTCCCTGTGGTTAATGCCGATTGTGGACTCTCTCTCTTCCTTCCCTCTCCTTTTCTCTCTCCTCCATTGCTGTCCGCAGTACTCGCTATGGGAGTCCCAAAAGACAGCTCCAGTTTTACAGGTAACGAGCCCTCCATTTCCCTAAATCCACAGCCAAAGGCAGAGGAGCGGGTGGGAGGGCCGCGCACCCCGGTCCAGGTGGCTGGTGGTTTCTCCGAAGCGAAAACCCCCCCGGACGAGGGCCAGGCTCCGGTTCTCTCTGGGTGCCCACCCACGAGGCATTTGTAATGCCCCGATGAAAAAAACCTGAAGCCGGGTTCATTGTGCTGATCTTCTAGAATTTGCTTTGATTGGAGCAAAGGGACTTGTGATGCCTGCTTCGCTCTCGCAGACTCTGCCTTCGAGCCTCCCTCTTCCGGCAGCGGCTGAAGTTCTCAGAGTAAAAGACGCTGTGTCCCGTCCATTCTCCCTGTTTCCTTGGATTTGAACTGATGTGTAGCCCACAGAGCTCTCAGGGTAATCAAAGGCCAGCCCCACCTGGGGGGTGCGGCTCCTATGTGACCTGGATGGGGTCAGGGGAACTCGCTGACATCTTTCTCATGCTTATCCCTTCTTGGCGAGAGGTTGTGCCCCTGTGGGCTTAGTGGCCGGGGAACGGGCACAGTCAGTCAGGGTCGTCTCTGCTGACCCTTCCTCGAGGCGGCCTCTTCCTAACCTGTACAGTAGGGGGCGCCCCACGAGGACACATGCTTCCCAGAATCTTGAGGAATTTACTTTGACATTTTCTTCCTGTCGGCAAAATGTCAGGGGGAGGAACCTACAGGTCAGCTCCGCCAGCCTTGGGACTGTGTGGGGACTCGGCGTGGCTCTCAGGGGCAGGGCCCTGGTGTCTCTTGTGCATCTTGGCATTCAGGCCTGGCAGGTCTCACTCTCCAGCGTCGCAAACGCCCACCACTAATGGGGCCGTGGGGCAGTTACTGGCACCTCTGAGCGTGACCGTGGGCCTGGGTCCACAGCTGATTTTGCCACTGCTTCAGCGTCTCCCATGCGGTCCCCCTTCTTACAGAGGGCTCTGGAGAGATGACCAAGCCTTTCATTCTACTCAAATTTTTGCTAGATAAGGTTTTGCCTGAAACAGAGCTAAACATGGGCTTGCAAATGTGTTCACTGGATAAAATGGTCATCCCTGCGTATGTATGCAATGGTATAACATGTCACCGCAGATGTGTGACACTCGTCCCAGCAGGATCTGACCAGTGAAACCAAACATGCACTTGAACTGCATCCTCACACATCCCGAGCCCACCTCCCTCCCGGAAGGAAAGGAGTGAGGTGAGACCAACAGGCAGAAAAGTCCCGGCACAGACCGGCCAGCCGAGAGGGCCTGGCCTGTGAGAGGGGCCGAGGAGGTTGTTGGGTGTGACCGAGTCGAAGTGAGACGGTGTTCCACACTCCTCGCTGGCCCTCGGAACGCCACGGATCCAATGTCTCGTCCACCCCTCTGGGGACCCTTTGGATAAGCATCCGGTCTCCACCAGGCCTTCTCGCCTTACGGCAAGCTCTGTTGGAGGAGTGCATTCCCACATCCCTCTCTGCCTGTCAGCTCCATGTTCAATGCTACAGGCTCTGGCTGTCCTGCCTTTGGATCTCCAGTGTAGTTTCTTCACACAGACACTCGGTGTCGCTGTGGGGCCTCTGATGATGACCTCTAAAGGGGTGGGATCTTGGTTCAGCATGCTGGGTGCCACTCCCAACGGGGCACCCTTGTCCCCCAGGCACTGACATGGCTCTTGCACGGTTAAGTCACCAGTGTGGAGCCTCTCCTGTAACGGCAAAGGATTTCAAGGTGTGTCCCAACCTCAGGCAGGATCTGACCAGTGATCTGTCAGGATCTGACAGACAGTAAGAGGGCTAAGACTCCCGTATCTGTCAGCTGTTACGCAGAACGCCGCATAACAAACAATCCCCAAAACTCAGTGCCCTACAGCGAGGAGCATTCGTTTCTTGCTCATATGTCAGGGGGTTGACTAGAGTCAGTTTATCTAGGCTGCGCTCAGCTCTGAGCTCAGGTTGGGTCATCCTCCCATCGTGCTTGGCCAGGGGCTGTCGCGGGCACATTCTTCTCGTGGCAGAAGTGTCAGAGGAAAAGCAGAAACCTGTGATGTCTGAAGGCCTATAGTTAGAACCCGCACACTGTCACTTCTGCTCATGGTTGTGGCCAAAACAAGTCTCATGACCCAGCCCGATGTCAGAGGGCAAGAAAGATGCTCCCCTCCCAACCCCCCTCCCCGCCGTGAGAGGAGCCAGTCACGTGATACAGAGGGGAAGAGGGACGAGCAACAGTCATACAACCTACCGCAGAGCCCAGATAACTCCAATAGTACCTAGAAGGTAAAGCGTGTCTGAGAGAAATCCAAAGAGCTGCTGGGCCTCTGAGGGACGGATGGCAGCCAGCTGAGAGTCGGGGAGGCCTTACGGAGGAGGCAGCACTGGGGCTTCGAGCTGGACCTTGAAGTCCGGACAGAATTCAACACAGAAATCAGGAGGAACGTTCCAGGAGATGCAGCAGCCTGAGCCACAACTTGGTGAGGCCGACAGAGAACAGGAAGTGGTGTTTACCCAGACAGGCCGTCAGGGCCATGGAGGTGGGTGGGGCTCTGGCCAGGGCGGGCCTGAATGCCAAGCTAAGGAGCATCGAGTGGGCAGGGGGCGGCCATCGGTGATGTTTGAGCAGGGCGACGGTCGGGGCTGTGCTGTAGGAAGGAAGGTGGGTCTCAGGGAGTAAGACGGAGGACAGAGGCTGGGTGTGGGTGACCAGGAGAGATGGAGAAGGGCAGAAGCACAGGGACCACAGGAAAGGGAGTGAAGGGTGCAGGAACCCTGGACCAGGGTGCCAGGACCACGTCCCCAGGCTTGTCAACCAACAGGCACTGAGGGGGACGTTGTGTTAACAGAGAGGAGCAGTGACCCAGGGGGAGGAGTTGGGCCTCATTCAAATCATGTCATGCTGATGACCACCACCCAACGTGTGGCCCAGGGCCACCTCCAGCCAAGGGGAACATGTGACATAGTGGGCTTGGGCCTTTGAGAGGAGCCGTCTCATTCCCATCGCTAAGGCCTTTCCGGATAATCACCACTGCCAGTCACCTCCGGTTCCATGTCCTCTGTCCTCTCCCGAGAGGCCTCACATTTCGCGTTTCGTGTACTTTCTACTATGGGCCTGGGGCAGTGATTCCCCCCGACCCGCGGAGGCAGGTGGCAGCCACCTGCTTTCAGGTTTATCATGGGGTAAACAGCTCAGCCTCTACCCAAAATTCCACACGCACTGGCCTCTTTAGCTGGAAGGTAATGTCATGCTGACACTTTGGGGCATCCTGGGGTAACCTAAAGTGCCCCTGGGGTCATGACCCTGGAAAAGGGGCTCAGCATAGCCCCTGCACCCCTACCTGGGGGGAGGGGCAGAGGTGTCTAATAACAGGCTTTCAGAACCTTCCAGCCATTTAAGGTACCAGGTACCAGCCTGGGCCTAGGGGAGGTCTCCTCAGACCCCAACCCCTTCATGTGGGTGATGGTCACATGCCATGGGGGGCAGGGCGGAGCTGCAAGCCTGGGTCCCATCCTCAAATAACAAAAAGCCCAGCCCGCCCCCTCCACCTGTGGTTCCCAGGGTCGTGTCCCTGGCACTCTGGGGCAGTGGAGGCAGGGGGTGGGCCGGGGGGAATGGCAAGACCCTGGCTGGTGCCCCCCGCTCCTCCCAGCCCCAACGCCAGACAGCTGGGCCGGCTGCACCGCAGACCTGCATTTCCAGGGCTTTTAGGGCCATAGCTCTCGTGAATAATTCAGCCTCTTGCATGGAGATGAAACAGCCCTAATAGGACTAATGGACTTGCTGCCTCCAAGCCCGACCCCTGGGGGACTCATCTCCTTTAGCAGCTGCCTCTGACGTCCTGCAGTGACACTCCCTAATGAAAACACTGCTGCGCCAGATCCTTAGAGCGTCTGGTGAACCCTAATAAACTAGACTGTGTGCTTTTGAACGAGCAGACTCCAGGAAGGCAGGTGAGTGGCCCCTTCAGCTCCTGGAGTCAGTGGCAGTGCCTTCGGGGGCGCGGCTGGGGACCAGTGTCCCAAGAACAGATTAACAAAGGGACAGTATTTGGGGGTGCATTTGGCTGATCTGAAATTAGACCCTGTATATTTTTCTCAAAGTGGAAAACCTCCCCACATGCTGGCCCTGCGTAACGGCGAGATGAGCGCTGGGGTGAGGCGGGTGGGCACCCTCCGGCTCCTGTGTGCCTGCTCCCAGGCCTGCAGGTGTGAGCTGTCTGTCCTGTCCGTCTGTCCAGGGAGGCCTAGGCATCCAGCTCGCATCTTGTCGGGCTCCCCAGTGAGAGTCAGCATTTTCGGTGTTCCCAGGAATGACAGCAGGACGTTTGGTGGCTGTCTGGAAATGCGCAGGCCTGAGCGGGCCTGACGGGCCGGGCTGCTTGGCTGGGCCTTGGCTGGCTGACTGTCGTTGTCGAACAAAAATAATTTTGTTTCTGCCCTGACGCTTGCCGTGCCTTGTAGAGCCGAGCTCCAGAACGATGCCGCTTGCAGCATTCCCGCTTTCAGGAGCTTTGGCTGGTTTCCTCCAATAGCGACAGGGACATCGCTGTTGAAAAGAGACATGTGGGCTTCCTCCCAAACCTCCTGGTTTGGTGGCTTTCGGTAAACAGGCCACAGTTCAGAAATTCCAGGTGAAGGCTCTTCAGGGAGGCCGTGATTCCCACTGACTTAATGAGGTTAAGGGCTTCCTTCCCTCTCCATCACGGTGCTCGGGGCTCGCTTGCGAGAACTCCCCTGAGCCCCGCTGGCCTCCACAAGAACAGATCTGCAAGCAGGAAGAACCTGTAGGGGCCCCGTAATTAGCAATGGGTATTGAGGGGGGAGGCTGATTTTTCTTGATATGGGGGTGGCCGGGGCAGGAAGGTGTGGCGGAGGGAGAGGTTGGGAGGAGCCCCAAGGCTGGCCTTGCTCTCTCTTCTCCCGGCCGGCCGTGTCTTCCTGGGGCCCCTTTGTCCAAGGACCCAACCCGGCCCCGGTTGCCTTCAGAGGAAGCGGGCCGAGCTCTGTCCTCTCGCACTGGCAGCACTCGTACCTGAGGGTCCCTTGTCCTTCTTTCTTCGTGGCATCTTGCCTCCCTCGAGGACCTCAGGAGCGGGGAACATCGCCCAGCTCCCCCCACTCCCCCCTCACTGTGTGTGGCCCTCTGGCCACAGACCCCTCATGAGCGCCACATCCTCACCCCTCCACCCTTGGCCAGCAGCCACCATGCTCACCCACACCCCGGCCTGCTCAGCACCACAGGACACTCACAGCAAGAGATTCTTGCTCCCTATGTGCAGGCCTGCTCCCAAAGCTGCACGAAGGATGGATCCCAGACAGGGGAGACCCCAGCCCCCACAGAGGGCGCCCTCCACACCCGGCTACACCCTGGCCTGCACCCATCTCATTAGGAACATACGTTCTCTCTGCAGGACCGGGGTGATTATTAACATCTGCATTTCCTCCTAGTCAGCATGTTCTGGTGATATTTGGTGCCTGCACAGCTCCCTCGTGCCAATCAAGCCCATGGTCAAGTGTGCGCTCTCAAGAGACCTGCCCTGCCTGCCAGCCCCTGTCCTTTTGTCTCCACACCACTTATCATTACTGGCGTCATATCCCACGCCTCATTGCTGGTGGCCACCTCCCCATACAGGGCACGTTCCGGCTGCAACACCAGCCCCTGCCCAGCTGTCCAGGCTGGGCCCATGCGGCCCGAGGCAGCCTGTGCAACAGCCTCTGCTCATGCCACTTCACCAACATGGAGACTGAGGCTCAGAGCAGCCAGGTGCCTGCCGGGGTCGCACTGAGTAGGTGACAGACAGGGCTGCCCCTGTCCAGAACCTGAGCACTAAGCCACACTGTCATCCCAGCCGCGGGGCTTGGCTAGATTTCCAGAGCCAAACCAAACCAGGGTGCCTCTTTTGTCAGTAATGTCTTCAAAGCTAATGGCTATTGATCTTGGCCTGGCTGGGCCCGAGTGCCTGAGGTGGACCCTGCTTTTTGGGAAGAGCCCCTGCAGCTGGCCTGCTGGTCTTCTCCCTGAACACGGACCCCAGGGAAGACAGGACTGGCTGGTTTGGCCCCACACAGGGCTGGCAGCGGACCACACCGCCCCCTCTGAAGCAGCTGCCTGCCTGTCCTGCGCACACTTGGTGGTGAGGAGGGAGCTGGTGCTGCTGCCTTTCCTAAGACAAACCCTTACCCTGGAGCCCCGGGCCCCTCTCCTGCCCACAGAGTGATTCTCCTGGAAGGTAGGGTTTTTCATGCCAGGGGCAAACCCCTGCTTGCTTTAGCATCCATCGGAGACCTCCGTCCAAACCCTTGGGGGACGCCAGAGGTCCTGGGCCCCGAATGATCCGAGCCATGTGAAAGCAAGTCCTGGCCCGGAAGTCCCCCACCCACCCCCTGCGAAGAGCCTGCGCCTGGGCCAGGGAGCCAGCCCAGCCCCGACAGGTGCAGGGGGCACTGCCAGGGAAACACCCAGCCGCTGCTGGACACCGAGCGTACAGTGGTGACAGCAGGCAGGAGAACCCGACCTTCAGGGGGCTCCAGTGCAGCAAACAAGATGATTAGAGAAGACTCTAGCATGTTAGAGGACGGCACACGCTGTGGAGAAAAAGCGCAGCAGAGAAAGGGGGGTATGAAGTGTCCGGTGGGGGTGGAGAGAGCACTCAAGGAAGGGGCTGACCCAGGGCAACTCCAGTGCCACCTCCACCCTCAGGGACTAGGCAGCAGCATCCAAAGCTGCCTCAGCTCCCCCCCAGCCCTCGCGGCTCTTCCCAGGGAAAACTGAACTTGTGCTCCCTTGAGGGCACCTGGGGAGGGGACAGTGCTGGTTCCTCCAACGCCCACGGCTGGGCTCCAGGGTCCCACTCTGCAGCTGACCCAGCTGAGTTGGCGACTCCCCACCTCACCGTCTCTCCTTGGTGACAGTGATGATGCTGGGGCCACTGTGCTGGCATCCGGGCCAGGGCAGAGGGCTGTGGTCAGGTGCAGGGGAGGCGTCCCTGGAGTGTAGACTACTCCCGACCCCTGTGACCATGTCCCTGTTGCCAGTTATGGACACACAGGCGTGACGCAACCTGCACTCATTTGCTCGCCATGCCCGTGAATTCACACGAATGGCCGCGTTCTGTACACACGCCTGTTCGCTGGCCTTTAACCGCCCTCTCGTAGGACTCCTTGCATGTCAGCACACATGGAGATGCCTCGCTCTTGAAGGCTGCACAGATTTCCATTATCCGATGGACTATCGTTTACATCGCCAGCTTCCCTGTTTATGGAGTTATATTGGTTTTAGTTTCCGAGGGAGTGTCGCCATCATTTAAGGTGACTGTTTAGCCATGGTTCTTAACGTTTGCGCTTTGACATCTTCCTACTAAACCTATCCCGCCCATCGCTCCCCCATAAGTGCAAGAATTCGTGGGTTGTGACATACTCAGTGATCACAGAGCATAGGGCCCAGAGAGCTGTGCTGGTGCAAGGGTGCTTTCTGCAAGCCGAGAGCCTGTGTGTGGATGGCATTCCCTTTACAAGGCTTGTGAACAGATGAATAGAGCCTTCCCGGGGTGGCCCCCCTCCCCCGGCAGGTGGGCTTAATCACCCTGGAGTTTGCTTCAAGGACAGCCATGCGTGTGCTGCTACCAGGGCATAGCCCTTGCCCTGGTCTTACCGGGGAACGCCTCCAGAGGGCGCCCTGCCGCCGTGTCTTCTGCTTCGAGGCTCATGCTCACTGCATGTTCTCCGTGCCCCCCCCCCACTCCCGTTTTCATTTGGGGCACCTTCAGTCCTCCCGCCTGGAGTGCAGCTTTGCCTGTGCTTGACCCACAGTGCGGGTGTGGGGGGTGGGGAAGGGGAGAGTGGTGCAAACAGGGGGGCTTAGCCCGAGTCCCTGGCCACCACAGCCTTAAGAACCCAGAATCTCACTCCAAGAGGTATTACCAGGGGCCAAGCTGCGTCCCCAGGCACCAGCACGCCTTGGTGGCCACTCATTGGAGGATGTGTCTTGGCATCCCCCCTGCCCTGGGGCCAGCGTCCAGCCTGGGCCCTGGGGGACAGCAGCATGCTCTCTAACCCATCGCCACTCGGCGTTTCCCGTCTGGACAGTGGCAGCTCCCAGGCCAGACGGTACCATGTTGTCCATGACGTACAGCGAGAGCCTGAGAAGCGTGAGCAGCAGGTGTCACTCTGACTGGGCCCTGCAGCCCGTCCGCCAGCCCGACGCGCTGGAGCTGCAGCGGTTGTGGGAGGTGCGGGCGGCCGCCCAGGCCAGGAACATGGAGCGTTTCCTCTGCATGCACGGCCTCTCCCTGGACAGCTGCACCGCCCGGCGCACCGGCATGAAGTACCGGTAAGGGCCGCGCAGGGCGGGGCGGGGCGGGGCCTGCAGGGGGTGCAGCCCAGGGAACCCGAAAAACAACTTTATCGTGTGCATTGGGATAAATATTTTGTGTCTAAAAATTCCAACCACATAGAAACGTATAAAAGAAGAAAATGGAAGCCTGCATAGTTCTGTCCTCCAAAAATCCGTACTGTTAAGTTTGATACATTCTCCATGGGGGAAAAAAACATGTGGTTTCTTGAAAAAAACTTTGCAGCAGGGGTAGACATGCTCTTTCATTCGTCTTCTTGCAGCATCATTGGGACAAAGTAATTATTAGGGGTTGACGACACACGAATTAGTGAAAAAGCTCAATTCATCGACAAATCCATCCTGGCACCAGAAACCCAGGGTGGGTCATGGGGGCAAAGATGCGCTCCCCTCCTTTCTGACCCTAAATCGGGCTGTCCTCTGTCCTCGCGGAAGTGGTCTGCAACAGGTGGCCCCTGGATTGGCCTCTGTAACTATGGTAGCAAAGACTGTGGATTAAATGTCCCCTGTGTTCTCCAGATGACAGGCTCATAGGGCTGTTTGGAACCTTAGAAGGACATTCAGTTGAGCTCTCTGGTCTTTGAAGTCAGCATCTGGGACAGCTCTCTGGCTGGCCCACTTTCTCCTCTGAAGCTCTCAGAAAGTGGCCCGAGCCCCAGAGCTTGTGTTTTCATGTATCATTTGCATGTATGCAGCTTTATCCTGTGCCTCCCAGGGACAGGCCCTTGCAAGAGCCAGTCGGCCAGAGGGGACCCTTCCCTGCCCAGTCTGTGTACTGTTGCCATGTTTAGCGAATTAAAATACAGGATCCCCAGTTGAATTTCAAATAAACAGCGATTTTTTTTTTTTTTAGTATAAGTATGTCAGGTAGTGTTTGGGACCCATTATACTCATACTAAAAAGTTATTCGTTGTTTATCTGAAGTTCAGATTTAACTGGTGTCCTATATTTGACCTGGCACCCTAAATCTTTGGTTCCCAGTGAACACAGCCCCAGGGGTTATCTTGCGGGTGTCTGGAGAGCAGAGCAGAGACCAGCCCTGTTGCTTTAACATTGTCTCCTAGGAACAATGTGTTGGGGCCTTCCGCTCATTATTTGAACAAGTGGTTGTGGTTTAAAGACACAAAACATTTCTGCGGTGTGTCCGTTAGATGGCAGAATTCTGAAGGCTTTGTATTTGTAAATCCAGCTGTAAGAGAAGAACACAGGGTCAGCGAGTCTGGCCCCAAAGAGCTCCTCATTCTGATGGAAATGTCTCAAAAGGGAGATAAGACTATATTTTTTTCTTTTTCTGGCTAGTCATTGGCACTTTTCTTTAATTCAGCAAATGCTTATGGGGGGTCTAATTGGCTCCCGGTAACCAGCTAGATGCTGCATGGACAAGGACAGAGTTTCCATACTCTTGGAGAGGCCGAGAAAAAGCCAGGAAGCATCTAAGCAGTAAAGGGATGCCAGGGACAGCTGAGACCCGAGCCATCGGAAGGGGGCCACTTGAAGATGTGGAGAAGAACCTTCTAGGACAAGGGGACGGGGGCGTGTTTGAGGAAAAGAGAGAAGTCCCAGAGCTGGACCAGAGTGAGGAAGGCGAGAGAAGTAGGGATGAGGCAGGGCGGCCAGAGCTGGTCCTGCGCCCCCTGGGAAGACCCCAGCTCCCTCCATTGTGGATATGACCTGCGATGGAGGGTGCACTGGAGTGAATCGTGACCCCCAAAATTTCATGAACCTCAGAATGTGACCTTATTTGGAAATGGGGCCATTGAAGATGTCATTAGTTAAGATGAGGTCATACCGGAGTAGAGTAACCTTAGGCTGGTGTCCCCATAAGAAAGCCGTGTGAAGACACACAAGGAAGAGGCCATGTGATGACGGCGGGGGCAGAGACTGGAGTGATGTTACCACAAGCCAATGGATGCCGCAGCCCCCCAGAAGCTGGGAGAGGCACAAAGGATCCTCCCCTAGAGTCCTCAGAGGGAGCATGGCCCCTGCGACACCTCAGCCTGAGACTCTGGCCTCCAGAACTGGGAGAGAATCGATTTCTGTTGTTTGATGCCCCTCTGTTTGTGGCACTTTGTTATGGACACAAACATGGGCAGGAAGACAAGGACAAACCCCTTATTTGCCTGACACCACAAGAAAAATCTGCCACCTGTGAAATGTGCTGAACTAACTGTGGGGCTGAAGTACCCTGGGAAACTTGCTGCCTGAGGCATGGCGCTGACAGGAAAACCACCCACGCCCATAACGCTGGATGGGCCAGAGGCTGTCACACCTGTGGGGCCATCTCTATCTGGCGGGTTTCATCTTGCTGCATCCCAGGGGCATTTCCACGACTAACCCCACCAGTTATTAAAGATCCTGGATGAATGCCGTCCCGCAGTTAACGTTCCCCGTCAGCAGCTGGGTTAGGACCCCGTTAAACTCGGTCTTAAATATTAATATAAAAAAGATAACGCCTCTAGATAAGTGCTGCTCAGTGGAGCAGGGAGACACTGCACCGTGGGCCTGGGCATCCTATCAGGGAGCCTGCAGCCTGGGAAAAGCTTGCTTCCTAACTTCCCCCATTTTCTTTAAACTGTCTTCAATTCTTGCTATTTAAATAAAATAAATGCACTGAATTTTTAAACCTGCACAGTCCCCGTGTAAGCTGCCCCTCCCCAGGGCCACCTGGCCATAATGATGGAGAGATGTGGCCTCAGTCGGGGCAGCTGCTGCGGCCCTGGAAGCCTGGAGGCTGTGGCCTGGGCCCACGCGGTGCCTGAGGACACCAGACCTGGGTTCCTCCTCTGCTCCCCCACGGCGCCAGGAACGAACCCAAATTCCCTACAAGGGCCTGCGCGGCCCATGCCCGCCTCTGATTCCAGCTCGGACCCTCCTCCTTCCTGGTCAGGATGCTCGAATGGGCCGCGCTCACTCCATCCTCAGGGTCCTCACATATTCTGTTCCCTCTGCCTGGAAGGTGCATCCCCCCGATTTCCACACAGTTGTCTCGCTCCCATAATTGACATCTGACTCCTTGAAGACATTTTCCCGACCACCCAGTCTAAATAAATGCCTGGCAAGTCATTCCAGGCCTGCTGTCCGGTCGCATTCTCATTCTCACCCCTCCCCCTATGTCCGTCACCTTGTTTTCGCCCCTCTGCACCCCGCGGAAAGAAGGGCCCTTGTCTGTTCCCAGCACTAGAACATTTCAAGCCCCTGTAAGCACTGGCTGATGGTGTTGAGTGATCTTGATCTTAATGCACTTTCCGGAATATTCTCCCGTGAAATGTCTCCTGCTGCTTCCTTGACAGCAGGACTGGAAGCTGCATCTAAGCCTCTCCCGCAGCCCAGATGAGGAGAGCAGGAAGCCCTGGTCGCAAGCTTCCAGCAGTGCAAGGAGGCCTGCGTGGGCTCTTACCACGAGCCAAGAAGACCACCAGGCAGCACCTGATTTGTGGTCAAGTCCTTTGAACAGACTTGACCGAGTTGCTCAGTTATTCCCCGGAGGTTCCTTCCAGCTGGACCAGTCATGGAGGGCTTCCTGGAAGTGCGGGGAATTGGGTGTGTCTTAAAGGACAGTACGAAAGAGGATGCTGTGGCAGGAGGAAAGGCAGGAGAGGAGGAGCAGAGACCAAAGAGAGATGGTGGGAGTGGACCGGTCAAGGAGGCCAAGCAGGGATGGGTCCACCTGGGAACAGGTCCTGGACCAGGGTCCTGCGGCCGCCATGACCGAGCCACAAACGGTGGCCGAAACAGCAGCAATTATTCTCTCACAGTCTGGAGGCCAGAAGACTGATCCGGGCGTGGGCAGGGCCATGCTCCCTCTCAAGGCTCGAGGGGCGGATTCTCCCTGCCTCTCCCAGCTGCTGGTGGCTGCAGACAGTCCCTGGCGTTCCTGGGCTTGTAGACGCACCTCTCCAGGCTCCAGCTCCGTCTTCCCGTGGCTGTTTTCCATCTGTGGGTATCTGTCTGTCTCCAAATCTCTCTGTCTCTATAAGGACACCAGTCATTGAATTAGAGCAATTCTACTCCCGTATGACCTCATCCTAATTGTATCTACAAAGACCCCATTTCCAAATAAGGTTACAGTCATCTTTTCAGGCCAGTAGCGCCGGACCTGACTGGGGTGTGGGCTCCGGAAGGAAGCCACAGTCCCAGCACTCAGCCCCTGAGGGGTCTCCCTTCAGCTCTTACCTACAGATGACACCTCCTCCAGGAAGGCCACCGCTCTGGCGTCCTTTGCTCTTAGAAACTTCAGGGGCCGAGGACCTCCCGTCCCACGGCCCCACTGGGGCAGCCCCCAACGCTCCAGCATCTGCCCCTCCTCCCTGGGCAGGAAAGGACCTTTGGGTGCAGCCCTGCTCCGTTCAGCGGTCAGGGCAGCCTGACGGGTACAGGGGAGGCCCCGGCCTCTGCAGGGCGCAGCCACTGATCCTCACTCTTGAGTTGCTGCTTTAGTCTGTGCTTTTAAAGCCGCCTATAAAACTGCCCCAGGCCTGAGGCCTCCCTGGCCTCGTTCTGTGCAGGGAGGGTGTCCTTTCCCCCCCCACGGTGAGCCTGTCCCCATCTTGGGGGAGGGACCTGGCTGGGCCCAGCTCGCCTTCTCTCCAAGCCATCCTAGAGGAGGTGGGGTGGGGGTGGGTCCCAGGCAGCGGAGCTGGAAGCTTCTCTCCCAGGAAGCCCTCTCCAGTGGCAGCCTGTGGGCACACAGCAGAGCTGATCGTTGGGGTGGCAGCGTAGCTGATTAATCACAGCAGGAACCAACTGCTTGTTTTAACAACAGCAGGTACCAGGGAGGCAGGAAAAGAACCCAACGGTCGACTGGATCAGTCAGCCATCCACGCTCAGTGCTTCTGCCCGAAGCCCGTTTCACCCTCCTGTCCACCTAAGCACGTTTGCAAGGAGAGGCCCTTTTGGAGTGACATTTGACTGTGGCAAGTTCAGGTCACGGTTTTAAGGTTTCCGCTTTCCATTCTTGTGAGTTCTTGTGAACTTTCTAA